CTTCTGCAGAAGTTGAGACTTGGCCATGGTAGCAACATCGATGTTAAAGTCGCCGATGATACACCACGGGAGCTGGAGGCTCCTCACGAAAGCTCCGACCTTGCCAAACCTCAGGAGGTTACCCATGGTGAAACCGATGGACGGGTGCCCGTAGAAGAGCACCACAACGAACGAATACCCCTTCTGGTGGACCAGCACGGGCAAAAAGCAGTCGAAGGAGTCGCTCCCCTCGGCGCAGTAGGCTGGCAGGTCACGCGCCTTCTCGCAGAAACGCTGGACGTGCCTGTAGTTCCTGGCCAGGAAGATCTCCCCCAGCACGTGCGACTCGACAACCCCAATATGCTATTGCTGATTATCGACCTCACTGCTGTTGAGGTAGGCCCCGGACATCTTGCCCAGGACGGTGATATTCGCGAAGAACATCTTGCGTTCCTGCTCCTCGTCCTCGTCAGGCGCAGCAGCTGCCGCAGACTCCTGAGTCTGCGCCGCTGCGCCCCGCGGCCCCGCTGGCGGCTGGGCTGGAGGGGCCGCTGGGCCTCCAGCCTTCCGCCCACGGGGTCACTGGCCCGCGGCCCCCGCAGCGCCCGCGGCAGGCGCCTGCTCGCCCACGGGAGCGTCGGCTGCCTGCGCCGCGGCGGCCGCGCCGGCTTCGCGCGCCCTGCGGACGCGCCCCACCTCGGCATCGATCTCCTCCTGGGACGGACTCGCTGGACCAGGTGCTGCTGGAGACGATGATGGGGATATCACCCGCAGCAGCCGTCTCCGCGCCAACCGTCCTCTTCTTCTGCATCCGCTCCTCGATCTTCTGCCTGATCTCGGTGACGGACGCCTTCCACTGATTGATCTCCTCTGCCTTGGCCGAGAAATTGGATTTGGCCGCTTGCAGATCTGACTCGGACTGCTTGAGCTTCAGGCGCTCGCCCTCCGTGCACTCGAGCGAACCCAGCTCCGCAAAGAAGGCCGTGTCCCACTGCAAGTCGATGAAGGTGGAGCCGCTGCCGCCCGACGGCGGGTCGGAACTGGTGCACTCGGCAACGCCCACCTCGCGGGCCATGGCCTCGGCGGCAACCTTCCGACTGAGCTCTGCCGCGGCCAGGGCCCTGATCGCCTCAGCCTCTCGAGCTTTGGCTGTGTCGAGACTGTCTCTGCATCGCTGCACTTGCGCCGAGGCCTGCTCGAACTGTAAGGAGGCCTGCTTCCGCGCCCCCTCCACCCTGCGCACTGCCTCTGCCGTCGCCGGCTGGGTCTGCGCGGGAGAGATTTTCTTCTTGACCTGCTCCTGTAGCACCTGTTTCAGCACGGGGTCGGAGGTCATCGAGGCTGCCTGTGCCAGAAGACCCTCGACTGTGGGCTGACGGGTGCTGGGGTCGACGAGCGGCGCGACATTGTCTCTCTTCGGTGGTTTGACCTCATGGAGCTTGGCCTGCCGACCGCACTTCCTACATTTGCAGCTATTCGCTTGCAAGTTGTCATTATACTCATGCGTGCCACAGGCCTTGCAAGTTGACCGCGCTCGATGCTGCGTGGGCGCCATGGCAGAAACCCTCTTAGCCAGCGAGAGCGCCAACTGAAAGGAAGCCGGTGGCTCGCTGCCCCTCAAGCACTGCGGGGAAGAGCAAAATGACGCGCTCGTGACAATATGTGCTTGCGCCAAAATGGCTACGGAGGAGGAGGAGGAGGAGGAGGCGGAGGCTTCACCCCCCTGGAACACGCTGCGGTGCCCGACCAATCCGTTGTCGAAGCGCCCGCCCGGCACGGGTTGCAGATCAGCAGAGAGAAGACGCAGGCTTGGACTAAGGACGCCAGCACGGGCCTCCCCGCCTCTCTCGCTGGGCTCTGGGTGCCAGATTTGATGTGCCTGGGCAATGCGGCGCCGTGGCTGGATCAGGAGAACGAGCGCATCCGGGTCCACGCCGACGCAGACGGCGCTGCTGCCGTGGTCAGGTGCACAGGCCGCCTGCGGGAGTTGCTCGCAGCGGACCTCTCGGCAGGGGCAACTTTCGCGCTTTTCCGCATCTACGTCCACGGCGCAGTGACGCACCACTTGCGCCGCGACTTCACCCGGGTGGACCAGTTCGACGACCTGATTTTCGCCAGCCTGGAAGAGCTTCTCGGGGCCGCTCTGGACCCTGGGCAGCGCGCGCAGGCCACCGTGCGTCTCAAGGACAGCGGCATCTCCTTGCCCCTAGCCCAGGCCACTTCTTCCGCAGCGTACGCGGCCAGCTGAGCCCTCACCCTGAAGGAGGTGGTTCGCGCTGCGGGATTCCCAAGCTGGGAGGACTTCTGGGCGCAATGCCCCCTGACACGCCAAGCTCCCATGGAAGCAGACGCTGACCTCTGGGCGCAGGTGCCATGAGCGGCGATTTTGATTGGATGGGGTACTTCCAAGAGCCCGTCGCCAAGCTTCTGGGCACGTGGGGCGCAGAGCGCTTTGCCGCCACCGGGGCCCGACTGCTCGGGGTGCTCGAGGAGGAAGACCGCGTGGAACTCCGCGGCGCGGGCGGCACCAGGGCCGGAGGCTTCGTCCTCCCTGCCGAGGAGGGGGGCCCAGCCATGCCCGACAAACATTGCTTAACCGCTCTGAAGCTACGTCTCCGTTGTGACGTTTGTCCACAAGGCGCCGTCTGCCAACTCCGACGCGAAGACGGCACTGTGTGCGGCTTTGGCTTTGGACCGGCGGGGGTGGCACGCGAGGTGCTGCGAGGTGGGGCAGCCTCGCACCGCTCGGCACGACGCCATGCGGACTTGGCACGCGAATAAGCACACAGGCCCAACCGGTTCGCAGCCCCCACTGAGCAGCTCGTCCCAGCCTGGGACCTGAGACCGCGTCAGCTGGCGCACAGGCGTGCTCGAGGCTGCCAAGTTGGACATCACCACTCGTGACCCTGCCATGGGTCGCGACGTCTTCGTTGATTGGAACAGTGCCTGCGAATATTCTACCTACGCCCCTCGCAGGCAGGCAGGCTCCAACGACGATGGCGTCGCTGCGGCGGCCATGGTGCGGACGAAGCGGAGACGGCCCCCCCGCCCAGCGGGGGTGATCTCGCCCCGCTGGTCTTCGAGACGCTCGGGCGCCCGTCTGACGAGGCTGCGGGGTTCAACCTGGCGTGCGGCCGCTACGTCGACGAGGCGAACCAGGGCGAGGTGCTCGGTGGCCTCTGGAAACAGCTGTCGCGTCAGCTCCAGGGCGGCAGCGCGGAAATGGTGCTCAGCGCCATCGGAAAGTGAGCCCATTGAAGCGCCGCTCCGGCGCCGCCGTTGCAGCACCACCCGCGGCAGCAGCAGCGCCGGCAGCAACGCAGTGACGACTGCGCCGACAACGGCGACGTCTGCTGTTTCCCGCCCCCCGCGCTCCGTCGCCCCCGCCTCCGCGCCACCACCCCGCGTTAACGACCGCAACGACGACGACGACGCCGGCGGTCGCCGACTCCTCGGCCCGCCGGCCCGTCCAGCTCGGCCTCCACAACGGCCACCTCGCCCAGAAGAGCGGCCACGCTCGGCCACCGGCCCCCTCGTCTGCCACAACGCCTGCCTGCGTGGCTGCCCCGACCGACCCCGCCATCCGCCCCCCTCTCCCTCTTCCTCCCTTGCCCCTGCTGGGCCGCCCTTGTAAGCATTATTACACCAGAGAAAAACCCCAATCAGTGGATGGTTTTCGCTGAGGAGATCGACCGGGAACCCTGGAACCCAGGAGCCCAGAACCCACCGAAATCGGCCCGGAACCAATAACCGGGAACCCGGGAACCCGGAACCCGGAACCGGGAACTTGGGAACCCAGCCTGCTACCAAAATCGGCGGGAACTTTTGCCAAATTTTTCAACTTCCGCTAGGGCCCCTTCAGTACAAGCACTGATTGGGGAAAATCGTACTTAAAATCAAATTCAGAGGCGGAGCGCCATAGGCCCCGTTCCCCTGAAGGTCTGGGAAGCTTTTTTTTCCGTTGCTAGGAGCCTGGGACCATGACCCCAACGCCCGAGGTCCCTCTTAGTGACGGGGGCGGGAACCCACTCGGGCGCCCCCGTTTTTTTTTCTGCGGGGGGAGAAGGAGGAGAAAGAAGGAAGGAGGAAGCGGGAAGGAGGAGGAGGAGGAGGAGGAGGAGGAAGGAGGTGGAGGAAGGAGGAGGCTGAGGAGGAGGAGGAAGGAGAAAGGAGGAAGCAGGAAGGAGGAGGAAGGAGGAATGAGAAAGCAGGAAGGAGGGGGATGATGATGATGATGATGATGATGATGATGATGATGATGATGATGATGATGATGATGATGATGATGATGATGATGATGATGATGATGATGATGATGATGATAATGCTGATGCTGATGATGCTGATGCTGATGCTGATGCTGATGCTGATGCTGATGATGCTGATGCTGATGCTGATGATGCGATGCTGATGATGATGATGATGCTGATGTTGATGCTGATGCTGAGGCTGATGCTGATGCTGCTGATGCTGCTGATGCTCTGATGCTGATGCTGAGCTGAGGATGAGGATGAGGATGAGGATGGTGATGCTGATGATGATGCTGATGTGATGACGATGCTGATGACGATGACGATGACGATGACGATGACGATGACGATGATGATGATGATGATATGCTGATGATGCTGATGCTGCTGCTGCTGCTGCTGCTGATGATGATGATGATGATGATGATGATGATGATGATGATGATGATGATGATGATGAGATGATGGTGATGGTGATGGTGGTGGTGATGTTGATGATGCTGATGCTGATGCTGATGCTGCTGATGCTGATGAGGATGAGGATGAGAATGAGGATGATGGTGATGAGGAGGAGGAGAGGAGGAGGAGGAGGAGGAGAAGGAGGACGAGGAGGAGGAGGATGAGGAGGAGGAGGGAGGAGGAGGAGGAAGAGTTGGAGAGGGAGGAGGAGGAGGAGGAGGAGGAGGAGGAGGAGGGGGAGGAGGGGAGGGAGGGAGGGAGGGAGGGAGGGGAGGAGGAGGGGAGAGGGAGAAGCACGAGGAGGAGCAAGAGGTCCCCCGCGGCCAAGCACATGGGGCTGCCCTTCGTCCGCGCCGGGGCCCTGTCCTGCGCCATCTCTGCCGGCCTCCTGGCACGAGGCGGCTCTTTGGGCGGCGCGGCGCTCGTCGAGGAGTTGCTCGACGCCGCGCGCCTGCGGGTTCCGTCGGGCGCCTCTGCCCCGGCGTGCGCCCTCGAGCGCGGCAGGCCGAACTTCTCGGCTGCACGTAGGAGTAACCCTGCGCTGGAGTGACCTTCGGTCGGCGTCCCCCCAACACATTTATGCTATATGTACGTCGCCCCCCCAGGGGCGACGCGCGCACCGAGAGCTCTCATAGTACATGCGTCGTGGCGGGCGCTTTCTGGCCACACCGCTCGGGAAACGATGTACTACAAGATGGGTATATTACATGCACGGGTCGGACGCGCGCCTCCAAGGAGGACATCTAGTATTAGTATGTCTCTGTGCGTCCCATTCGGTGCGGGCACACTGGGCTCCCCGATCGCCGAACGCGATGCCACAGTGGCGTCTTGCGCGCTTTGTTTTTGGTCCCCCTGCGGCCCCAAAAAAAGCCGCGCTCCCAAGCTCATGCTTGCCCAGGGCCACACTTGCGTGTAGCCGAACTTCTTCCTCTCGTGGCCGCTCCCAGTCGAGCAGTTCGGGCAGCTGGCCTACGCCACGGCGGACCGGGGGCGTCCAGGAACGGGGACTGAGGACGCTTTTCCTCGTCGACTGGGGGGATGGGCGGAGGACGTGTCGATCAAAAAACAAACGACACCACCCCACCTACCCTCCATGTTGCGCTACGGCCCATCGGGGGCCGTAGCGCATATCACGCAAAAGCCCCAGCCGGAATTCATGGTAAATGCTAAGGCCCATTGGGCCGCATGTGGGGGGGTGTTGATTGTTTTCTGGTCCAACATGTGTTTTGATGTGTTTTGGTCCTTGAAGTTTTTTCCGCTTTGGGAACCTTTCCAGCAGCAGAGGTCGACCTGAACGGTGTTTTGGCCATTTCGTAGGCCGTTTTCGCTTGGACTTCGGTTTGCAGCAGAGGGCGGATCGGAGACCAACGAGGGCCAGCTGGAACCAAAACGAAAAGAAAAACACTGCTGGGGTCGATCCCTGGTGTTCTCCGCCGTTGGATCCCTTGCAGCAGCTGCGCAGATTGGTGCTCGCGCTGTCAATGCTCTGCTCTCCTAGGGCCTTGCAGCGTCGTACGCACCTTGCCTCTGCGTGCCCGAGCTCCGTAGCTGCCTGCACGCCCTCCTGTGCTCAGCTGCGTTCTTGCTCTTATGGACCCTGCGCAGGCCTGACGAAAGCCTGAGAGGTTCCGTCCATTGTGTGCTTCGTTGCCTCGATACGCGCGTTTTGAAACGCAACACGTCCCGTGTTCAAGACGTCTGCGTCAATACGTTGCGTGTTGGCTCCACGTATTGGACCACGTTTTGGCGAATGCATCGCGTCGGACCTACGTTTTCAGCCTACGTGTTGAGCTCCGTGTCAATACGATACGTGTTGCGTGTTGCGTATCGGGGCAGCTAAGACTGTGCGTGTGATCCCTTTCAGCAGCTGCGCCTCGCCGGGAGCTCTCCGCGGGGGGGGGGGGGCCGGCTCGTCACGCACGGCCGCTGGGCCCATCCCCGCGTTCCGACGGCCTGCCAGGGCTACCGGGCGTCGAAGGGGGGGGGGGGGGACTAGAGGGAGGAGGAGGAGGAGGAGGAGGAGGAGGAGGAGGAGGAGGAGGAGGAGAGGAGGAGGAGGAGGAGGAGGAGGAGGGGGCAGGAGGAGGAGGAGGAGGAGGAGGAGGAGGAGGATGAGGAGGAGGAGGAGGAGGAGGAGGAGGAGGAGGAGGAGGAGGGGGGAGGAGGTGGGGGCAGGAGGAGGAGGAGGGGGCAGGAGGAGAAGGAGGATGAGGAGGAGGAGGAGGGGGAGGAGGAGGAGAAGGAGGAGGAGGAGGAGGAGGAGGAGGAGGAGGAGGAGGAGGAGGAGGGGGAGGAGGAGGAGGAGGAGGAGGAGGAGAAGGAGGAGGAGGAGGAGGAGGTGGACGAGGGGAAGTAGGAGGAGGAGGAGGACCAGTGGAAACCCAAGAGTCATCAACGATGTTGGAATTCACCATCCCTCTAAGCTCCCTCTCCACAGGCCCCTACAACGGTTCATTTCCATTGAGGGAACTGCCTCGTTGGAAAACATCAGTTTGAAGGTCTTGAGCATGCCAAAACATTGTTCTCGGGATCTCAACGCCACATATCAACCTGACTGCTGCGTCTTGACAATCCAGAATCGTGGCATAACTCCATTTCTGGAACTTAACACAGCGAACCAACATAACAGTTGCGCCCGCATAATCCTGATCCCTTCCAAAACACCACTTCTGGTACGTTGATCACGGGAATCCATGGAGTTCTTGAAAATTGTTAAAACGAATGTGCGCGGCGCTAAGACGATAGCCACATTTTGGAAAAGACCCGACCTCAATCCGTGAAGCTCCTGCAAATTTGTAGAACGAATGTGTGCGGCGGTAAGGCGAGAGCCCGTGAAGCTCTCGCAATTTATTTTGAACGCATGTGCGCGGCGCTCGGGCGAGAGCCACATCTTGAAAACCAGCCGCCCCTAATCCGGGAAACTGTTGTAAACGTTTAAAACGAATGTGCACGGCGCTGAGGCGAGACCCACATTTTTGAAAACCACCCGCCCTCAATCCGTGAAGCTTGGCGCTAAGGCGAGAGCCACATTTTGAAAACGACCCGCTCTCAATCTGTGAAGTTTGGCGCTAAGGCGAGAGCCACATTTTGAAAACGACCCGCCCTCAATCCGTGAAGCTCTTGCAATTTTTGAAAACAAAAGGGCGCGGCGCTAAGGCGAGGGCCACATTCTGAAAACGACCCGCCCCCAATCCGTGAAATTCTGTGCAAATTTTGAAAACGAATGTGCGCGGCGCTAAGGCGAGAACCACATTTTGAAAACGACCCGCCCTCCATTTGTTAAGCTGTTCTCACTTTTTAAGCTTCAGAGTCATAGATGGTGAGGAAGTCTCCAGCGAAACGCCCGGCCCGCCCTAAAAACTGGCCTCGGGGTGCGACAGGGAGGATTTATTTAGAAGGAGAAGGAATGGAGGAGGAGGACGAGGATGAGGACGAGGGGGAGGAGGAGGACGAGGAGGACGAGGGGGAGGAGGTGGAGGAAGGCAGGCCCTAGGGGGGTGTCCGTGCGCGTGCCTGGCAGCTGCCGTTGTTCCCGCTGGCGTGGCCGGGCCGCGCCAGCACACTCAGGCGAGGGTTCTGCCGCCTCTGGGTGGCCCTTTTTCTTCTCCTCCTCCCCCCCCCCGCGGCCGCCCGCGCTGCCCTCCTCCCCCTCCTGCCTGCTGGCCACTTCGCTTCCTGGTGCCCCCGTTTGGCTCTATCGCTGGTGCAGCCAACTCCGGCTCGCCGCCGACAAAAAAAGTGTGTGTGTGTGTGTGTGTGTGTGTGTGTGTGTGTGTGTGTATGTGTGTGTGTGTGTGTCTGTGTGTGTGTCGCACTTTGTGTGGGTTTCCTTATTTGGGGATTGTGTCATGTCCTTCTTGCGCTGTTGGTCCGCATGTGTTCACAGTACCAGTCTGCTTCGCAGGGCCTCTGGGCACGGCTCTGTACCCCACCAGTCTGCTGGTCTGGCAGTAGTTGCGTTTTTGTTTGCTCTTCGCTGCCTAACACCGTCGCATCGGTGATCCACTGTCCGCCACTTCCCACCAGACTGCTCACGCTTCACCTTGCTTCGGGTTGAGTCGCCTTCTCAGTTTTCTGACCGCTGCACGTTTCGCTTGGAATTGAGAGAGCGTGATCCACCGCCGCTTTGCTGTGAAAAATCCCCCCCTCTCCCACCGAAGCCAAGGGGTCCCCCCCCCGGAAATCCTCCCCTTTTTCAATCCCTTCCCCCCACCCCCTTCCCCCAGCAAGACCCCCCTCCCCAACACCTCCGCCCCCCCCCCTTTCCCGGAAAACCGAGGGGTCACTACCAGTTCGACCCCCCCTCTCTTGGGGAAATCGTCGGGGCTCACAACCGGTTCGAACCTCTCCTCCCCCCCCCCCTCCCCCCCACCTCGCCGCAGCAAACGGCTCCCTCGTCCCCACCACCGTCCCCACCACCGCCCCACCACTGTCCCCACTACCACCGCCCCCACCATGGTCCCACTGTTCCCACCACTGTTGCATTGTCCCCACTGTCCCCACCACTGTCCCCACTGGTGTCACTGTCCCCACCAGTGTCTCCACTGTCCCCACCAGTGCCCTCAACACTGTCCGATTGTCCCCCTGTCCTCATTATTGTCCCCACCACGGTCCCACTCTCTCCACTGTCCCCACAAGTGTCCCACTGTCCCCACCACTGTCATTACTGTCCCCGCTGCTCCCACTCCCCGCTGTCCCCACCGCTGTCCCACTATGCTGTCCCACTGTCCCCACCACTGTCTCCACTGTACTACTGTCCTTAGTCCCACTGTCCCCATTTTCCCACTGTCCCCATTGTCCCATTGTCTCCATTATCCCCGCTGTCCCCACTGTCCCCACCACGGTTCCAGTGTCCCCACCACTGTCCCCGCCACGGTCCCACTCTACCCATTGTCCCCGCTGCCCCCACCGTTGTCCCGTCCCACTGTCCCCACTGTTCCCACCACTGTCCCCACTGTTCCCACCGCTGTCCCACTGTCACCACTGTCCCCACCATTCCCCACTGTCCCATTGTCCCACTGTCCCCACTGTCCCACTGTCCCCACGTTCCCATTGTTTCTACTGTCCTCGCTGTACCACTGTCCAATTGTCCTACTGTCCCAGTGTCCCCAGTGTCCCACTGTCCCCACTGTCCAGTGTCCCACTATCCCCACTGTCCCTACTGACCCACTGTCCCCACCGTCCCCGCCACCATCCCCATCACCGTCCCCACCATTGTCCCCACCACAGTCGCCCATCCAGAGTGGGGGAGGAAGGGGGATCGTTTCCCCACTGTCCCCGCTGTCTCCAGTGTCCCATTGTTCCCACCGTCCCCACCTCCATCCCCACCACCGTCCTCACCACTGTCCCCGCCACAGCCCCCCATTCGGAGGGGGGGGAGGAGAGGAGGGGGAGTCGTTTGCCTGTGGCGAGTGAAGGGGGGGGGGAGTTCGAACCTACAGTGGCCCCTCTTTTTCATGATGGACCGGGGGGGGGGCTCGGGGGACGGGTTTGGAACCCAGAGTGACTCCCCCCGGTTTCGAAAAGCAAAGGGGGAGGCGGGCTTGAAACCCCCAGTGACCCCCCTCCCCGGTTGCCTGCCAGCAGCGGCAGGACACGCTCTTTCTTGGCTTTGCAGTTCCTCCTTCACACCACCTATCGCAGCATTGGCAGTGTGCGCGTTTTGTACACTGCGCCTTCGACAGCGTTCGATCGCAATTGGCGCCTCCATCTGCTGCTCGCGCCTGAGGATCTGTGTGTGTGTGTGTGTGGGTGGATATGTCGCCGCGGACCTTGGTTCCTTGAGGCAGAAGTTCTCGGCACCGTTTGCTGTCGGGCACCGTGCAGTCGGGAATCGCTCTCGGGCTCAGGAGGGAGGGGCCGCAGTTTTCGGGCTCAGGAGAATCGCTCTCGGGCTCAGGAGTGATGCTGAATGATAATCGCTCAGGAGGGCGTAGGAGGGGCTCAGGAAGGATGCGGAATGAGAATCGCCCTCGGGCTCCGGAGGGAGGGGCCGCAGTGTTCGGGCCGCCCCCCCGGATCCGGATGGGAGACCCGTCCGTGGCCCAGGCCCGCCGTGGCCAGAGAAGTCCATTCGCTGCTTGCCCTGCGCCCCGCAGCGTGGCGCGGTGGCGGTGCCTGCGGTGGGTGCGTGGGCTGAGGACTGTTGCCCAGGGGAGGCTTCAGACCCCGGAGAGGGTGCCTCATCTGATGAGGGCGGCGGCGGTTTCCATGGCCAGTCCACGGTTGGTGGCCCACTGGCTCCCAGACCTTCGATTCCTTTGACGGATCAGTTCCTCATCCAATGCCTTCGCCGTAGTTTTCAGCAGTCGTTTTGGGCATCCATAGGTGGAGTCCGTCCTGTTCCACCACCCAGGCGCGAACGTCGTGCTGCTCTCCGCGGGGCTCCCGCGCACGCTCTTCGACGTCTACCTGCGGGAGGGGTACTGCGTGCTGTCCCTGCCCGTCGGCCCGCGGGAAGCCCAGGCCGACGAAGAACAACCTTGCAATGATCATGGGCTTTCGGAGGTTCGTGTGGAGTTTTCGGATCGGCGCCGGACCGCCGAAGCGGCGCCTCCGGCGCTACCACTGGTGCGCTCCGCGCGCCAGGGAGGGGAGTCCAGAGCCGGTCCAAAAAACCCGTGCGGACCTCTTAAAGTAGGCGGAGGAGGAGGAAGGAAGGACGGAAGGACGGAAGGAAAGGAGGACGGAAGGACGGAAGGAAGGAAGAAAGGAAGGAAGAAAGGAAGACAGGAAGGAAGGAAGAAGGGAGGGAGGAGGGAGGAAGGAGGAGGAGGAGGGAGGAGGAAGGAGGGAGGAGGAGGAGGAGGAGGAGCAGGAGGAGGAAGCTTGTCCAGCTGTTCCCTTCCTCCGCCAGGGCCTGGCGGCCGCGGCCGCCCCGGAGAGCCCTGGCCTGGGCTCCCTCCAGGAGCGGGCAGCCCTGCTCGGCGGCGCGCTGGGCTGGCCGGGGAAGGGGGTGGAGGCAGGGTGTGCTCGCGCCGTGAACAAATTGCGACGGGAGGTTTTCGACGATAGTTTTTGGATTCGGTGGGCCTCGCTGGCCCTGGGGAAAGGGTCGGGATTTGAGGGGACACCGTACGGACGAGAAGAGTCGAGGCATCGCATGTCCCGGAAGTCACGGGAGGCCAGCCTCCACCGAGGGCTGCGGGGCTTCTCAGAATCGGAGGTGGATAGACCTCCTACCCTGACACGTCGATTAAGGAATTGGCTGTTTTCGGTTCGCGAGAGGATGCAAATGTGAATTGTCGTGGGCAGCGTATGCTACATTGTCCCCAAGGCGGCCCCCTTAAGACATACGCATGTCTCGGGAACGGAGCTTCTTAGGCTAAGAGGGCCCATCCACCATCAGTGAAATAGAGAGGGGAAATGCCTGGGAGGTGCTTGCTGGCACTTGGGAAGTGGTTGCCAAAAACACTGCAAAGGTTAAGGGCTTCACCTGGTGCTTGTCTGGGGTCATGTTTAGGGTAGGGTTTGAGGTGTGGAGTCGGGTTTTGGGTTTAGGTTTTGCGGTGTCAGGTTATGTTTTTGAATTCAGCGGTTAGATTTCGGTTCGGGTTTGGTTTCGGGTTTCGGGTTTCGGGTTTCGGGTTTCGGGTTTCGGGTTTCGGGTTTCGGGTTTCGGGTTTCGGGTTTGGGGTTTCGGGTTTCGGGTTTCGGGTTTCGGGTTTCGGGTTTCGGGTTTAGGGTTTAGGGTTTAGGGTTTAGGGTTTAGGGTTTAGGGTTTAGGTAGGGTTTAGGCCCAGGGTTCTCTTTTAGTATGTAAACTTGTCCCTGGTGCCTCAACAACTGAGGTGGGCCGGCGGATGACGGGAAGCGTCTTCGAGGTACGAGAAGCAAGCGGGACGTTCTGGCTGAATCCTTGAGTAAATATATCTTTCTTTAACTATATGGGTTGCCGCGCTGCACGGGGTTTTTCGTTGGCGGATTCCCCAAAATGGCCATTTCGCTCGAGACATCCTCCTAAAATCGAGGTGTTGGAGGCTATCGTTTAAGACGTCTTAGGAACTGAGAGGAGCACGGCAGACCAAGACGAGGAGCACGGCAGACCAAGACGAGGAGCACGGCAGACCAGGCACCAAGAGCGCCCTCAAGACGACGGAAAGGATGACCAAGACGAGGAGCACGGCAGACCAAGACGAGGAGCACGGCAGACTATGCCCTAAGAGTGCCCTCAAGACGGCACGCCGCTGACGTTTCCCCCACAGGAGCACGGCAGATCTCACAGGCGCGCGGCAGACCCCAAATGAGCACGGCCGACCACAGGAGCACGGCAGACCCCAAATGAGTACGGCAGACCCCAAAGGAGCACCGTAGACGCCTCAGGAGCACGGCTGACCACACAGGAGCACGGCAGACCACACAGGAGCGCGGCAAACCACAAAGGAGCAAGGCAGACCCCAAATGAGCACGGCAGTCCACACGTTCGCACGGCAGACCGCACGCTCGCGGAGGGCCTCCGAACGGCCCAAGAGAAACCCCGAAGGCCCCCCAGAGGACCCCCAAAGCGCCCCAAGAGACCCCCAAGAGCCCCCGGCCCCCAAGACGACCCACGGTGCCGCCAGGACGGCCCAGGATGTCCTCAGGACGGCCTCGAGACGGCCTCCAGACGAACTCGAGGATGACGGGAAGCGCCTCCGGCGTGCACCGTTGGTTCTGGGGCTACATTTTCTCTAACTAAAGGGTACGGGCCCGCCCTTCGGAACTCGCTGGCGGCGGCCTGCGGCAGCAGAGGGACGCGGGCACCCCGAGCCAGCCGGCACGGGTCCTCCTGGTCGTTGTCGTTGTCGTCGTCGTCGTCGTCGTCGTCGTCGTCGTCGTGGTCGTCGTCGTCGTCGTCGTCGTCTTCGTCGTCGTCTTCGTCAATGACGATCTCGAAAATTACGACCAAAAACGATGACAGAAAACGACCACAAACATAACACAAAAACCAACCGAACCCGGAATCCAACAACAAAAAAGCAATCAGACAAATTACCGCAATCATAAAATGATAACGACGGCGACAGCGAGAACGGCAACAGCGGACGATTATAATGAAAACGACGACCACGACAAAGGAAAGGCACGCGACGACGACGACGGACAAACAAAAGACAAGACAGGCTGGAACAGAAAAGTAGGCTGGGCGACAACGGGTGGGGGCCCGCGTGGCCGAGAGAAAAGCACGGTGTCGACACCATGATGTGGCCAGGGCAGCAGACTACCTCGACAGACCAGCGCGGCAGGCCATCATTTAGTCTGTTCTGTTGCGTTTATGGGTTTCTCTGACGTTCTCGCCAATACGGTCTCTGACGCACGTGGTGGATAAAAAACGGCGCTTCCCGTTCTTGTCCGGTCAGGTTTCTTCCCTGATAAATATCGAGGTCGAGGTGGGCCGGCGGATTAAAATTTGAGGATGTCTCAGGCGAAACGCTTATTTTTGAAATCCCGATCGATCAATCACAGGGTGCGGGCCACCTCAGCACGACCACACCCCAGCACGACCACACCCCAGCACGACCACGCCCCAGCACGATCACGCCCCAGCACGACCACACCCCAGCACGACCACACCCCAGCACGACCACACCCCAGCACGACCACACCCCAGCACGACCACACCCCAGCACGACCACACCCCAGCACGACCACACCCCAGCACGACCCAATCGCACGGGTGCGGACCACCCCCAGCACGACCACACCCCAGCACGACCCCACCCCAGCACGACCCCACCCCAGCACGACCACGCCCCAGCACGACCACACCCCAGCACGACCACACCCCAGCACGACCACACCACAGCACGACCACACCCCAGCACCCACGCCCCAGCACGACCACGCCCCAGCACACCACGCCCCAGCACGACCACACCCCAGCACGACCACACCCCAGCACGACCACACCCCCAGCACGACCCCACCCTAGCACGACCACACCCCAGCACGACCACCCTGAGGTTGCGTACAACTATAATATAGTTGTGGTTGTTGAACAACTATATATATAGTTGTACAACTATACATATTGTTGTACAACTATATATATAGTAATACAACCATACATATAGGTATACAGTGTGTATGTAAGCTATTCTAGCTGTTAGATGCCGCTGTACCAACCCCAAAAACATAATCTACTTCTATCCTCCTCCTCCTCTCCCTCCTCTCCTCCTCCTCCTCCTCCTCCTCGATCCCTCCTCCTCGCTCCCCCTGTTCCTCTTCCTCTTCCTCTTCTCCTCCTCCTCGGTCCTCCTCTTCTTGTCTTCAATTTTTCTCCTGCGTTTCCTCGCCCCTTTCCTCCTCCTCCTCCTTCGACCCCTCTTCCGCTCCGCCGCCGCGGGGCAGCCGCGAACCCTCGAGAGCCCCGCGGGGGCCAGGGTGCGGCGCGGCGCCGCGGCGGGCTCGCGGGTGTGCCCCATGGCGCCCAAGAAGGCGCGCATCCTCTTCCCTCCCCCATGTTTTCCCCCTCCTCGCCGCCCCCCTCCCCCGCAGGGCGGCAAGCGGCCCAGCTTCGACGGCGCGACGGTGCTGGCCGAGCTGTGGGCCCCGCACGTGCTGCAGGCCGACAGCGTGGCCTACGCCACGAAGCTGGACGCCGCGCTGGACCGCGGCTTAAAAGAGGAGGACAAGGAGGAGGGAGGAGGAGGAGGACGAGGAGGAGGGGGAGGAGGAGGAGGGAGGAAGGAGGAGTCGAGAAGGAGGAGTCGAGAAGGATGAGGATGAGGAGGGATAAGGGTCGAGGAGGGCCGATGAGGAAGAGGAAGAGGAGAACGGAAGGCAGGGTAAGGAGGGGGACGGGAGGGGGGAGGAGGAGGAGGAGGAGCAGGAGGAGGAGGAGGAGGGGGAGGAGGAGGAGGAGGAGGAGGAGGAGGAGGGGGAGGGGGAGGAGGAGGAGGAGGAGGAGGAGGAGGAGGATCCACCCCGCCCTCCAGCCCTAGGACGCGAAGCAGCTCGTGAAGCACACGGCGCTGCTGCAGGCCACGCGGGCCGTGGCGTCTTCGGTCACGCCGAGGGCCGCGAAGGACCCGCGGGAGGAAAGGAGGAGGGGCAGGAAGGAGGGGAGGAGTACGCTACGCTGTTCTATGCTACGTTGTGCCACGGAGCGAGTTGCAATAAATCGTGGTACGGTTTGCCATGCACCGCTTTGCTACGACTTGCGCCAATGCAATGCTATGCCATGCGATGCAATGCCGTGCAGTGCTATGCAATGCCATGCAACGCAAGTAAGTCCGAGCGTTCGGCGCAACGCTATAGCTGTGCATTGCTACGCAGCCCTTCAAAAGCTTTCGTGTTAATGCTGTGCTGCGCCATGCCGCGCGCCCGGTTCCGCACGGTCTGCTTTGGGGCGATCCCGAGGAGGCCATGCAGCAGATCGCGCAGCAGAGGCCAGGCTGGCACCTCGGGCCCGAGGCCGACCAGTGGTCCACCGACGCGGCCAACATGGTGCGGACCATGCTGCGGCACGTCGCGGTGGCTGTGACTGCCAAGACCGAACGGGTGCAACCACCTTCACCCTCTGTACCCCCCCTCTCTCCCTGAGAGGGGGCAGGAGGGGAGGGGCATGGAGGATCTTCAGGGGGAGGAGCGGGCAGATGGGCCGACGACGGCACGATGAAGACGATCGGTGGAGGACGAACGAGTAGGAGCGAGGGGAAGGAATTGGGGGAAATTCGATTTTCATGGGGTTGGGGCCCATTGGGCCCCCATCACCTGTTGAGCCCGACCTCCACCGATCGTCTTCATCGTGCAGTCGTCGACCCATATGCCCGCTCCTCCCCCTGCATTGTTTTCTGCCCCAACACCAGCAGGAGGGTGCCGAAGTGGGCTGCAGCGTTCGCGGACGACTCCGCGGATGAGGCCGATGACGACGGCTCCGAGCCTGGCTGCTTGAATTCACCAGAGCAGCCCGAGAGCTTCGAGGCAGATGATGAGGAGGAGAAGGAGCTCGGCGGCTCGCGAGCCGCGGAGGCACCAGAGGGCGGCGCAGCAGAGGAGCTTGAGGGCGGCGCAGCAGAGGAGGGCGGC